AAAGAAAGAAAGAAAGAAAGAAAGAAAGAAAGAAAGAAAGAAAGAAACCCTCTCTTCAATTTAGCAATAAATTTTGACTGTGCAAAACCCTGATTGACTAGTTCCTGTGATGTCAGCAGGAACCCTTCCTTCTCCAGGCCCCCAGTTTAGGACTTATCCAATGGCCTATTTTCTAAATGAATAAGGTGATGAATGGAATTCCAAGAATTCAGAGGGTGAATTAATATGATGGCAACTCAATGGTAACCTGAATAAAGCAAACATTTCAAAAGGATGTCCCCCAAAAAAGAGGAAGTAGGGTGGAACAGATAGCAAAGCCCATGTTCAGTCCCCTGGTATAAGTACTCAACAGTTCATTTGTGAAACCTGGCAAGAGAGATAATGGAAACAGTACATGGGGTTTTGTTTTGCTTGTTTTCAGCACCTCTTGAGCATGTTAGTCTTTGCACTTCCTCTCCATTTGCATAGTGTGAAATATGGCCCCATGAACAAATTATTTCCTGATTACTGCTATATGATTTTTATGTCTATGATCCCAAATCCTCTGGTGTCTTTTCTAGGTATAAACCATGGACCGGTTGTAGCTGGAGTGATTGGGGCCCAGAAACCGCAGTATGATATTTGGGGGAATACTGTTAATGTGGCCAGTCGTATGGAGAGCACAGGAGTGCTAGGGAAGATCCAGGTAGGATTGTTGGAAGAATGATTTTATGGCTGGCTGTGCTGTGTCTTTCTCGCCCATCCAATTCCAGCTTTGAATCCCTCAGGCTGATTCAGGAAGACTGAGCCCATCAAATATTCTCAAGGCAACCCTTATGGATGTGGGGGTGCATCTGAAAGGTGCAAAAACTCTGGGTGGCTTCCCACCAGCAGTGGTTCCTTGACTAGATAGACCTTTGATCAGGTCAGACACTGTTCTTCTCATGTTTTCAGATTCTGGGTCCTCTTTTAGATACAAATATTTTGGGATTGAGGAAGAAGGAACCCTGTGGTTTATAATTTAGAAAAGTGGTGGAACAACTCAGGCCTAGGGATCATGTTCTGTCCTAGTGGCTTTCCAGATTTGCTCGGGTGACCACACTCCTCTGTGGCCCCACCAACTTTACACGAACCAACACTCACTTGGTGGTTTCTTGATTCTTGTGCTGTTTCCCATCCCCACCTGTTCTAAAATGTTGAAATGACTCTCCTAATCCTTAGTGGCTGTCCAAAAGAGGTTTGAGCTAGATATATACTGGTTTGGCCCCATTTGTCTTTGACCCAACCACCACTGAAATGCAAGAGTTTCCCCACAGTGGAATGTAGTCTTCACATTCAAAGTTGGTGCAGCTGCTGTGATTTAGAGACGACATATCTTCTCAATATTTTTTATTCTGGAGGCAAGCCAAACCAATATGCTTAAAGTCAGCAGAGGGAGAGCACCAATAAACTAAATAATGTTCAATCTATGTGGCATTAAATAACACCAATTAATTCATAGAATCATAGAATAGGAAGGGGCCATGAAGGTCATCGGATTCAACCCCCTGCTGTTGCAGGACACCAAGTTACACCTCCCACTCAGATGACTGTCCAGTTTCTTTTTGAATGTCTCTAGTGTGGGAGAGCCAATTGTGTATGAATAGGAAGGAAGTTTCTTTTAGAGTAAGAATAGGCAGATTTGCTGTGAGCTGAGGAAGTTCCTCCTTGGAGCAGTCACAAACCATTTTCCAAAGAAAATGCTCTTTATTGCTCCAAGTACAAATCACCCATGGATCTCTGGACATGTGCAGAGCAGTTTGTTGAACCCAATCTAGTGTTTACCTCAAG